TATATATATATATATATATATATATATATATATATATATATACACACACACAAAGTATATTTATAAGTATATTTATAAGTTTTATTTTTTGTTTGTTTGTTCAGCCTCAAGGTGTGCAAAGAGAATCTTTAAAAAGACTAACTCTAGAGCCCGTTAAAAACAGTAAGTTCATTCTTTAAGGAGTTACAATAAACAAAACGAGCCTATCACTTGGTTTTCTGTTTGTGGACCATGATTTTTGCTGTCATTTTTCCATAGATGGTCGACAAAAAGAGGTTATCAACAGTGAAGTTTCACGAAGTGATGTGGTTCCAGGCGCACCTATGAGAACATTTCTTTCTCTGACAGGTAAGTCAGGTAGCAGCTTTAAAAAATAATACTATAAACAAGGTTTGTGAATGTCTTTTCAAATGAATGAACTCATTAATTTACAAATAAAAAAAAAAACACCATTTATCCTCCAACCCAAACCAAATAAAAACGTAAGATTAAGGTAATTTTAGAAATGGTTGTAGGCACATCACCTGCCTCATTTCAAGCAGAGTTTTAGACCAATTTCATTTAATTTCATGTTGAAAAATCATGGAGATACAGTATAGCCATTTTGGTCAAAACCTTGTGAAGTTTTGTGTGATCTGTTTGTGCTCAGATTATGTACTGGGACTGATTTTCAACTACTACACAGCAATTCTGAGATGACTTCTATTGCAGAAACTACTGAAACTGCAAGAACTATCCAACGCATTATTAAAAACTGGAAGGATAGTGGGGACCCATTGTCTTCGAGGAAGAAATGTAGCCGGAAAAAATCCTGAATGATCGTGATGGGCGATCACTTAAACGTTTGTTGAAATCAAATTTAAGAAAAACAACAGTAGCACTCAGGGCTATGTTTAATATTGAAAGTAAGAGCATTTCCACCCTCACACAGTGTGAAGGGAACTCAAGGGATTGGGACTGAACAGCTGTGTAGCCTTAAGAAAACCACTAATCAGTGAGGCTAACTGGAAAAAAAAGTTTCAATTTGCTAGGGAGCATAAAGTGGGGTCTGGGGGGTCCTCTACCATAAAATTTTGAATAAATTAGATGCCATTTCCTGCACTCTGGTGTATTTTAACAAGCTGTTAAACATCTATGTTTACCTACATAACACTTGATTTAATAACTTATTTTAGAGTAGTGTGACCAACAGCCCCCCCACCCCACCCATCCTGAACTGCTGGCACTAACGTAGCACTAAGCTAGCAGCGTGCAATACAGATGTGCTAGCTAAGATACTACAGATGTAGTGCTCTGCTTCTCTTGCGCATCCTAAACCCCACCACCCCGATTAACAACTGCCGCACTAAGCTAGCGTGCACTACAGAGGTATCTCCCCCTTCTCCCCCTGCCTTGTAGAGAAAAAATAAAAAAAACTCAAAGATGAGCATGCTGCCAAGTTAACCTCGGGGAGACACTGCATGCATGCAGTGTGGTGAACTGTGGGTTTCCAGGAAAACCCGGAGTGGATTTTTTGTGGTTTGTGTATTCTCCTATTAATCAAGTGGAATGGATTAGTTCAAGTAGAAATAGAAACCGTGCCTGGTGAACTAATGTTTCATGGTAAATGTGTGTGGGTGTGTGTGTGTGGGGGGGGGGACATGTCTCCTTTACATGTAGTTGTTGTGACGCCTGTGAGTGCCTGTCTTCTGGACAACTGTCAAGTCAGTAGTCATGCTCGTGATTGTATAGTGCAGGGGTCTGCAACCTGCGGCTCTGGAGCCACATGCGGCTCTTTGGTCCCTCTGCAGCAGCTCGTTCAAGCTTTGACCAAAACTAACATAAAACTGAATTATATTGGTTGTTATAACAACTAAAAGGGCTAGTTTTAGCAATTTTCCCGTAATTTATTTTGCAAATATACTGTATGTATACTAGAAAAGTTACAAGGAGTAAAATGTACTCACTTTCACTTTATTTCTTCAAAGTAGGATATGTAATTTTTCTACATTTAAAACAAAAATCACATAAGAATCCATAGTTTATTGTTTTAGTTTTTAGAAACTGGGCAAAACTATATTTTTTCCTTCTTTACAAGAATCTAGTCTTTTATTTTGTCTTAGAATATAAAAATGTGAATAAATGTTAAAAATCATTAGATATTTTTAGTTTTATAAAATCACCGCCACTGTCCAGAAAAGCACCCTCCAACAAACTTAAAGTGGTCCGTGGGCCACCAGTTGAGAATCCCATTTGTGGCAGGCATTGTGGCTCCGGACACGTTTAGTGAACAAAGGGGCAGAAATGGCTCTTTTGATGGTAATGGTTGCAAACTCCTGGTATAGTGTGTGATCTAAACTGATCTGAACTTTTTTAGATTTTTCTACCTGGATTATTGAGCATGCATCAGGATGTAGTGTGCGATGTTGCCACAGGTCTCAAATTCTTAAATCTGAAAGAAAATCATCCAAACAAATACAATGGCAAGTCAAAAAAATGTAATCATCTGAGTATTTATTTTCTTTATCTGAAGAACATGGATAATCACTTGGCTTTCTAACAAGATTAATGAAAACAATACCCCCTTATCTTCTCTGTAACCACACACTTCTGTAGCCCCTCCCACTAAGCAAAACAGTTCTTCACTTTTTGCAAGAAAGCAAAATCTTTACATTTCTTCCAAGTGAAGTGAACTGTACTGAACTTTTCACAATATTTTAAATTTTTAATTTTCTAAATTTTCTTTTTTCTTTTTTTACTTATCCATCCGTCCATTATCTGTTACCTGCTTCTTCCTTTTGGGGTCACGGGGGTCACTTCAGTGATATTCTTCTTTTTTTTTTTTTTTTTACATGTACCTGTACATTTTGTTGGGATGGATGGATGGATGGATGGATGGATGGATGGATGGATGGATGGAAATTATTGCAAAATAATATCTTATTGAATAAACTGTTGTCATTGTGTATGCAGGATTTGAGCAGCTAAGCCCATTGTTAGATAATGCCATAACTGGAAAGTCTATGGGTACTCTAATCAAAGAGCCCATGGGCTGTGGAGAACAGAATGCGGCAGCCATGACCCTCCCTCTCATTGCTGCCAGATATTTGGACAAAGCCAACCAATGGGAAATTGTGGGCTTTGACAAACGCAACGAAGCAATACAACACATAAAAACAGGTAAGCTCTACGGACCTTTTAACCAGTACAGATAGTAGCGGTATAATAATAAAATTACTACAGACATCTGATTAGATTTGTACAGTAACTTAAATTATTATCTTGAATGTGTTCGAATAATGAATGGCTATAAGAAGAAAGGTTTTTGGGTTTGTATTTGTGCAGGCTATGAAACTGAGCTTAGTTTTCAAAAGAAAGATGGATCTTTTGCGGTTTATCAACATCATAAAAGCACGACCTGGTGAGCCACTTCAACGTTTTCCATGCTTTTTATTGTAGAAAATCTGTAATGAATGTACTTTGTCACTTTATAAAAAAAATAAAAATGCATAAAACATTTTTATTGCTCTTCTTTCTCTACAAATAAGGCTGACAGCATATGTTGCAAAGGTGTTCGCCATGGCCTATGATTACGTGGCGATTGATCCCAATGTGTTATGTGGGGCCATCAAATTTCTTATTCTCAAAACACAGCAACCTGATGGTGTGTTTGTAGAAATTGGAGAAATATGGGATAAAGACATGATTGTAAGTGAAGTCATCTTAATAAAAAATGTTTCTAAAGTGCTCTGAAATAAGTAAGAATTAAATCAAACAGATTTAATACAACCTCTCTCTCTCTCTCTCTCTCTGTCTTTGTGTGTGTGTGTGTGTGTGTGGGGGGGGGGGGGGGTTAGGGAGATGTGGGGGGTGTAGACTCAGATGCTTCCATGACTGCTTTTTGCGTGATTGCCATGCAGGAATCAAGAACTATCTGTTCTGGCACAGTTAGTGTAAGTGAGCCATCTACAAATAAACGTTTTCGCTGCTAACTTTTTTATGATTGTTCAGACAGATGTGGATTACCATCTTAGTTTAAATTAATCTTCTACTTATTTATTTGCTTATGCAATATTACATCCTTGTGTCTGCAGTTTGTCTCAATGCTATACATTTTATTTGAGAAATTGAGCTGTGATGTTGAAAAAAATAATATAGACATATATAGTATATTATGCATGCATGTAGTGTATGTGTATATACTGTATATATATATATTTTTTTCTTTTTAGTTTTTTTAAACAAAAGTTGAAGAGATAAGCTGCCTCAACTATCACACACCTGATACCTGGATTGTTGTTTTTCACCTGCTTTGTAGGAATTATTGTTAATTTTATTCTTTAATGTTGTTGTTTTTTTTTGTTGTTGTTGTTTTCTGTACAGAGTCTGCCACACAGCATAGCCAAAGCAGTATCCTACCTGGAGAAGCGTCTGCTCAGCATCACCAACCCTTATGCTGTAGCAATGACATCATATGCTCTTGCAAATGAAAATAAACTGAACAAGATGGTTCTCTTTCAGTTTGCTTCCCAAGGTTTTACAGGATTATATGGCGTAACTGAAACCGCATTCAATCAGTTTTAGATACTCGGATACGAACAGATATAATTATACAGAGGAAATTTGTGTTTTCTTGCAAAAATTGTTACAAGTACTAGCAGGTAAAAATGTGTGTGTGGATTTCCTTTACAGATCGAACTCACTGGTCTGTACGTAATCAACTAATTTACACTCTAGAAGCCACCGCTTATGCACTTCTTGCACTTCTCAAGGTCCAGGTGAGCAATTCCTTCACCTTTTCTGATACACAAGAGTAAAATGAAGACCTCCGTTTCAGTACAGTTTTGGAAGTCATTGAGTCCTTGAAATGATTGTATATGCATGTTTTTGTCATCAACTGATGCAACACTGCAAATAATTATTACTCTCCATCATGAAAATGTGGATTGACAATTTAAACTTCACTTCACCATTTGCTCTTGCTGAGATCGGACGCTTTCCCCTCCCCTCCCTCTCCGCTTTGCTTTGCTGCTCTGTCTGTCTGTGAAACTGCTTCTGAGCCTCTCTTGCATATTTTCTGAACCATAATTATGGACTTGATTTGATCAGTTGGTCCTTCAACATGATTTACAACATTTCTTGAAGAGAAGACAGGCTTTAGGCGAGCCGATTTGCCCTGTTGGCACGCACGCAGCTGGATATCTCATTGACTTGGAAGGCTTGATGATGTGTCTATCTCTGCTGCCATTTGTGGATTTTAAGGACGCATATTTAATTGGATTTACGATATCTAGTTCCTGGTTTTTGGATTCAGCTGGTTGCTGGTTTTATCAACATTCAAGGAAGTCGTCAGCAGCAAATTTGGACCCGATCATGCTGCTTGACTTTATGATGTCTTGGTTTGTGTCTCGTGTACCCGGACTCAAATGCTTTGGGCAGAATGGATCAGATCTTGGGGATTTTACTCAGTCACGTTCCATCGGTGTGGCCATGTACTTTGGACATTTCGGAACTGAGTGGACCAACACAGACTCAAGGTAGATGTCATTGAGTTCTGCCTGTCCCCAAAACAACTGTGTGTTTATCTGAATTTGTTTCCCTTGGCTGACCTTGAAGGCCATCTTATCTGAATTCGCCTGGAGAACATGTGATCTGACGCTCACCACCCTCTCCCTGAGGAATTTCCAACTGATAATCAGATGAAACCAGCTGAATAAACTTTGTGTCATCATTTAAGGACTCTTGGATTCTCATAGTCGTTATTCTTGGCCATTCCTCGACATACCTTGAGAATGTTTGCGGATCTCACCGGAGGACACTGGCTGATTATTACATCTTTATCAGAACTCTTACAGTGACCTCGAGAGCATCTATGAACATTTCTCACCGCTCTCGTCGTCCCCCTCTGCAGAATGTCTACGTCACTATGTGCTTGTTTGTGCAAGGTGTTTTTTAATATCAGAGTTTTTCTTCTCAGGCAGGAATAAAAAAAAGTCTGATAGGAATTTTTTCGCCTCCAATTCCTACATGTGTCCAGTTTCACTTCTTTTTGTCTGTCTAAACAGAGCTCACTTGTAAATGAGTCTTCTAGGCTCAATGTGATTTATCTGTCTAAATAAAGGTTGAAAGAAAAAAAAACTGGCATGCAAGTCAGAATCAAATAAATTGAAGATGTCTCCCTCAGCTAATTGTTCTTGGAATAAACAAAAATGGTTACATTTCAGTCAACTTTACAAATATTGAGCTAAAATTTGGTGTAGTAGATAAGAGTCATTCCCAACACATACTCTGTTTTTAACAGATCACAGAATATCTTTCTGCATGCAAAGCAGTGGGAAAAATGTGTTTCTTCAAGGAATGATAGGCCATTCATACTAGAGACAGTTTGGATTGGAAATCCTAAAAATGTCCTCTTTTTAATTTCAAAAATTTCCAAAAACTTTTGTAAAACAAAACACGTTCCGACAACTGTCACTGAAGTAACTTTACTTTGTCTTTGCTGTTGTTGCTGAAGGCTTTTGAAGAAGCTAAACCAGTTGTAAGATGGCTCAGCCAACAGCAGATGGAGGGTGGAGGTTATGGATCAACTCAGGTAAAGTTCTTGCTCTAACATAGAAAACTATTTAAGGCAGCTTTTCTGTAACCAGATATTAATATCTTAATGTGTGGATTACATCTCTTTCTTCAGGTTACTATTATGGTGTACCAGGCAGTAGCAGAGTACTGCTCCAATGTGAAAAAACCACCATACGATATGAATGTGGACATACAAGTACATGGAAAGACACAAATTGACAAGTTCCAGTTTAACAGGGAAAATCACTTTTCCGCAAGAACTTCCAACGTAAGCACATGTGCAAAAACAAGGTTTTTATAAAACTATAATAATAAGCTGTCTGAAAACACTAGCAGAATTTCACTGTATTAGGACACTGCATGAAAATAATACATAAATATTTCAATGTTTTCAAAGTAAAATCACGGTAACACTTTACAATGAGGTACACAAACTTTGCTTAACTACTAGGGAACGCCTAAGGAACAAATCAGGAGCTAATGGGTAGTTAACCAGTACTTACTGGGGAACACACAGCCAAGCTTTTTTAGGGGACTACTGGTTAATTTCCTTGTAAATGAAGAGGAACTAATCAAGAACTAATGGGTTGTTACTAAAAAAAAAGAGGAACGAATCAGGAGCTAATGGGTAGTTAACCTGTACTTACTGGGGAACACAGCTCCAAGTCTTATTAGGGGACTACTGGTTAATTACCTTGTAAATGAAGAGGAACGAATCAGGAGCTAATGGGTAGTTAACCAGTACTTACTGGGGAACACACAGCCAAGCTTTTTGGGGGGACTACTGGTTAATTTCCTTGTAAATGAAGAGGAACTAATCAAGAACTAATGGGTAGTTACTAAAAAAACTAAAAAAACAAAGAGGAACGAATCAAGAGCTAATGGGTAGTTAACCAGTACTTACTGGGGAACACAGCGCCAAGTCTTAGAGGACTACTGGTTAATTACCTTATAAATGAAGAAGAACTAATCAAGAACTAATGGGTAGTTGCTAAGAAAAACCAAAGAGGAACGAATCAGGAGCTAATGGGTAGTTAACCAGTACTTACTGGGGAACACACAGCCAAGCTTTTTTAGGGGACTACTGGTTAATTTCCTTGTAAATGAAGAGGAACTAATCAAGAACTAATGGGTAGTTACTAAAAAAACAAAAAACAAAGAGGAACGAATCAGGAGCTAATGGGTAGTTAACTAGTACTTACTGGGGAACACAGCGCCAAGTCTTAAATAGGAGACTACTGGTTAATTACCTTGTAAATGAAGAAGAACTAATCAAGAACTAATGGGTAGTCAACCAGTACTTACTGGGGAACGTACAGCCAAGCCTAATTTGGGGACTACTGGTTTGTTACCACAGAAACAGAGGAGAAATTCTCCATGTGAGTTTTGAATAAACCCTGCACCAGTGAGGTCACAGCTCGTAATTGTCAAAAACCTGTTTCCTAGTGATTACTGGTTTTATTACCCTTTAACTCCTGATTTGTTCCTCTATAGTTTCTTTAGTAACTCCCCATTAGTAGGTTAATCAAATTTTGTGTACCTTATTGTAAAATGTTACCAAAATCACTGTTCTTAGCTGTTTTATTGTTCATTAGTTATAGCTGATGCTGTAACTATTGTGGTGGAATGTTTATGTCATTGTATCAGTCATCAAACAACTGTTTCCATTTAAAAACTCAACAGTTCAACGGTATCAACCAGAACATAACGGTGACTGCAACAGGAACAGGAGAAGTCATGTTTAATGTAAGTATAACTTTGATTTGGTCATTTATCATCTCTTGTGTGCAGTTGTAACATCTTTCAAATCATAAGAAGCTTCCTTTTCCTCAAAGGTTCATCGAGAGCAAAACAAAATCTTTCTAGGTCAAAGTTCCAACAACAAGTTAAGAGAAAACTTTATCTTGACTGATGTAGTTATTTGTTGACTTGTGGCCTTCGTACTATTCAGTCTTACAGCTCTCTCGGGATGGCTTTCAGGCCCTTTGTGTGTGAATATTTGTCCACTTGCACAGGCTAACAAGTTTTGATCATTTTGGCAATCTGTTTTATCATCTTTCCCAATGTTGTTGCTCAATTATTCTCACCTGAAACTAGACCTGCCAAGATAACAAATTTTGATGGGCGAGTAATTGTCTCAGAAATTATTGCGATAAATGATAATATTGTTTTTTTGTTGATTTGCTTTGTTTTTTGGGGTTTTTTTTGAGTGTCCAGAGGACCAGATTTATCTTTTTTAGATTTTTCTACCTGGATTATTGAGCATGCATCAGGACATTTTAAAAATTATGTAATTTATGGAACATTAAATAAAGGTAACTAAAAAGAAGAGGTCTTTGAAGCAATAGCAATTCTTTCATCCATTCTGTCTGTTTGATAGATCTTGTCGGTGTATTACGCTATGCCTTCAAAACGAGTGAGTGACTGTGAGATGTTTGATCTGACGCTGGACCTTTCGGAAGGTAATTATGTCCCTTCTTTAAAACTTCTGCTGCTTCTCGTTTTTAGGTTGTTTATCCTTGGCTTTGGTTATGTTAGTCTGTTTTGAATTATTATTATTATTATTATTTTATTTGTATTGTTTTAGAAGAAAAGTACTTCAAATTAATTGTGTTTTTCTTTCACAGAAAAAATTGATGAGACTGAAAGAATTTACAAACTCAGAATAGAGGTTTTGTAAGTAATCACAGTTTACATCATACTTAACCAGCCACATTTATATTCCACTGAAACTTTCCGACTTTCCTTTACCCTCACTAGAGTCCTTGAAGGGTCATGGGAGTTTGCCCTTACAGTCTACATGTGTTTTGTGGATTTGGAGAAGGCATTCAACTGTGTTCCTTGAGGTACACTGTGGGGGGTGCTCGACAAGTATAGAATTGTGGGTACACTGTTATGGGCCATTCAGTCCCTATACATGCAGTATGAGAGTTCTATTCACATTGCCAACAGTAAATCAGACCACTTCACCATGGAAGTTGGACTCCGCCAGGGCTATCTGTTGTCACCCATTCTGTTCGTAACTTTTGTAGACAGAATTTCTCTGTGCAACGAGGGGGTGGAGGGAGTCTGCTTCTGTGGCTTCAGGATTCAATTTCTGCTATTTGCGGATGATGTGATCCTGTTGGTGCCATTGTGCCGTGATCTCCAGCTCTCACTCAAGTGGTTCTTAGCTAAGTGTGAAGCAGTTGGGATGAGAATCAGCCCTCTAAATCTGAGGCCATTGTCCCCAGTTGACAAAGGGTGGATTGCTCTCTTTGGGTCGAAGGTGAGGTTCTGCCTCAAGTGGAGGAGTTCAAGTATCTTGGGGTTTTGTTCACAAGTGAGGGAAGAATGGAGTGTGAGATGGACAGACGGACTGGTGCAGCATCTGCAGTATTGGGGAGCTGAGCTGTAAGGCGAACCTCTCCGTTTACCAGTCGATCTACGTTCCTACCCTCACCTATGGTCATGAACACTGGGTAGTGACCAAAGAAACAAGATTGTGGATACAGGCAATTGAAATGAGTTTCCTCCGCAGGGTAGCTGGATTCTCACTTAGAGATAGGGTGAGACGTTCAGTTATCTGGGAGAGACTTACTCATTATGAGTTGAGTGGATGGATGTTGGATGCTGTCTATCATGGTGCACTAAGACTCATAACTGGCTGTGATGATCGTACCCACCACTGCACCCTGTATTCACTGGTTAACTGGACATTTTCATCATTAAATCACTTCTTGGTCTGCTGCCTTCATACATCTCCTCCTACATGTCTCTGCATGAGTGCAGCTACAGCGTGCGCTCTCAGGACATTATTACCTGCAGTGTTCCCTCAGTGAGGACTGAACTAGGCAAAAGGGCCTTCTCCTACTCCACTCCTGTTTCCTGGAATATCTTACAAAAAGATCTGAAGTTCTCGACCTTGACCTCTCTAAGTGGCTTTAAGAATCTGTAGGACTCCTGGCAGGGACCAATGCAGACATGTTCCTGTTTTTAGTTTTCTACATTCGCCTTAGAATCCAGCTGTTTTTTGTTACTTTTCTTTTTTTTTTTAGCCATCCTATTTGTTATAAAAAAAATTGTATGACTTTTTATAAGTCTATTGTTGTCGCTGTTGTACATTGTTGTCATCATTCTTTGTTGAAATCAGGTCTCTCTTGTAAATGAGTCCTCGAGGCTCAATGGGATTTACCTGTCTAAAGGTTGAATGAATGAGTGAACGTTCAGCCTTTATTTCTTGTAAGTTTGATTACTATGGCTTATAAATAATGAAAAAACAAAAATCTGTGTCTCGAAACGCAAAAGCATCCACATTGAGGAGGAGATCACGTGATGCACGCTGCTGATTAGACGCTTACTTTTTGTCTCATCTCTGAGTCGAGGTAAAACTATTATTTGAGATAAAAATCTACCATGTGAAGTGAGAAATAGCTGTGATTGGATTTGACATGTCTTTGGATAGCTTCTTTGTACTTGCTGTGCCAGACAAAAAGAAGAAAGGAGGTCGAAAAGTCAGTGCAAATGTTGACATGTCTGTGGCTGACCAAGACGATCGGGACGTGGCTGGGGCTGATGACACAGAGCAGAGGAGCATATTGAGTGACGTGGAAGAAACTAAAGAAGACATAGTGGAACAAATTACTAAGAATATTGAAGAAATGCTGGATAAAAAAATAGTTGCCATTCTCAAACCAGTAACTGAGCTTTCAGAAAAATTTGACAATATGGTGCAGAGAATAACTGCCACTGAACAGCGTATTTATGATTTAGAGGACACAGCAATAAGAAGCGCACCCAGATTGGATATTATGGAGAATTTTTTTTTTAAAGACACTGGAAAGGCAGGACAGTGGATGACACCTGGGTTAAAATTAAATCTCATGAAGTCCAACATTTCACTGATCACATCAACTCTGTGGATAAATACACCAAGTTCTCAGTTTCTGATAGAGGACATTTGCAAACTGAGGTGTACCACAAACCCACCCACACAGACCAGTATTTGCAGTTTGTCTCCCATCACCCTTTGAAGCAAAAGTTAGGAGTCATCAGGACTCTGTACCACAGAGCAGACAGCATCCCCACTAACTCAGGAGCCAGGCAGAAGGAGAAATCCTACACAAAACAGGCTCTAGAGAAATGTGGTTATCCTAAATTGACCTTCCTGAAAGCAGAGAAGAAACCCAAACAGGACTCCAGTCAACCATCAGGTGAAAAGGAGGAACCCAGACCCAGACCAGTGGTCATTCCATATGTTGAGGGAGTATCAGAGAAACTGAGACGTTTATTTTCTAAACAACATCCCAGTGGCTTTTAAACCCAAAAATACATTATGGCAAAGACTGGTCCATCCCAAAGATCCAGTCTCCCGGCACAAACAGAGTAATGTTGTGTATGCTGTTCAGTGTCAGGAGGGCTGTGATCAGTCTTACATCAGGGAAACTAAAAGCCACTGGCCAAAAGGATGGACCAGCACAGAAGATCAACATCATCAGGCCAGGACTCTGCGGTCTACACTCATCTCCAGGCCAGAGGCCACTCGTTCAGGGATGAAGATGTTCACATCCTGGACAGAGAGGAACGATGGTTTGAGAGAGGAGTAAAGGAGGCCATCTTTGTGAAAAGAAACCGTCCATCATTAAACAGGGGTGGAGGCTTCCGGGTTCAACTGTCCCCCTCTTACAATGCTGTTATTGCTAGAATCACTCAGCCTCCTGTGAATAGTAAACAGCCATCAGTGTGCTAATGATCCATTGTTAGGCTGATGGTCCTTCTTGATCATGTGAGCAGCTGGTTTTGGTTGTCAGCAGCAAAACTGGTTGATCCACTCTGAGAAGGTGCTATTTAAGAGACTGAGCTGAATACAGCACCTCAGACTGAGGAAGTCTCTCGGATGAAAGACGAACATTTCTACAATTTTTTTTTTATGTCCAGAGGACCAGATTTAACTTTTTTAGATTTTTCTACCTGGATTATTGAGCATGCATCAAGACATCCATCCATCCATTATCTTTACCCGTTTCTTCCTTTTCGGGTAGCGGAGGTCGCTGGTGTCCATGTCCAGCCATCACTGTGTGAAAGGTGGGGTACGCCCTGGACAGGTCGCAAGTCCATTTCAACCAGCGTTTCAGCGGACGAGCATGGCCAGTGACAGGTTGTCCATCTGAGCTTAATGTGACTTTTTACCCCTTTAAACCGGCCAGTTGGACCTGCCTCCTCCTCAACAAGTAGATTAACACAATTTCATATTGTGCATTCCTTTGTGCTGTATGATTTATAAAACCACATCATAGAAGCCTGAGCCCACGTGTGCAATTATTGTGCAATGCACCAGCAATCTCTTCCACAGTCTGATTAACTGCTGCAGTCTTCTTTCTTTCTTTATCCTCTCAACATATAAACTTACTGCCTCCTCCTCTACAAGTAGATTAACACAATTTTATATTGTGCATTCTTATTTCATTTTATTTGTGCTGCATCATATTGGATGATAAGTAAAACTGCATCTAAGCCTGAGACCGGCCCGGCCTGCACATTAAGCGCATTATTATGGCCCGGCCCGGTTCTGAATCAGGGTCGGGCTGGGCCGGGCTCCAAGTTTGGGTTAGAAATGACAGCTCTATTTGACAACCTCAGGCCTTCATTCTTGACTTTCCTCTTCTCCCTCCGTCTCCTGACACGTTTGCCTCCTTGTGGTCTTCGACTAATAGCACAATTTCTTCCAACACCCTGTTTGTCAACATCACCTTTGGTGGTCGTTGTTAACCCGGGCCTCTACCGATCCAGTATGATGACCCTTAGATTAACTCACATTTGTAATTTTGTCAAAAAGTGTTTTACATTGGATACCCTTCCTGATACAACCCTCACCATTTACCTTGCTAGATTTTTTTGGCGTGGTTGTATGCGCATGCGTGGTGACCCATGTGTCAGAAAAGGTCAGATGTCTGACTGGCTGTATGTCAATCAAGTGACAAATTTCATAGAGAGGATGGATAGGCTGATGTAAAAAAAAAAATCATGCCATGCAATCTACTCATTACCTTTTGCGATGGACTGGTAGATCGCGATTGATGTGTTGGGCACCCCAGATCTACTGAATATGAGTTTCACTTTCTGAAACGATTGACAAAATATTGAACTTTTTCTTGATATTCTATGTTTTTTTTAGATGCACCTGTATATTTAAAATATCCTTGTTATTGCCATAGCTGTTATTTATCTTCTTTTTTTCTTCTTCTTCTTTTTTCGGCTGCTCCCTTCTTCAGGGGTTGCCATAGCGAGCTTACTCGCACAAAGACTTGCCGATTGTTTTAACACCGGATGCCCTTCCTGACACAGTCACAGACCACCGAGCTACCACAGCCCTCTGTGTGGAGCAGAGAGCTGCCATCTAGGGTGCCTGAGGGAGGAGATGGTTGGGGTTGAGGGCCTTGCTCAAGGACACAGAGTGGGGTAAATGATGGTTGAGGCAGGTGTGGGTGCTTCGCCTTTTCTACCGCATTTTGATGTGGTCAGTCCAGGGGGTTCATACCAGCGACCTTTCAATCACAGACTTGCCTTCTCTTACCTCTGCGCCACCTCTCCCCAGCTGTCATTTTTCTTTATTTTTGCTCTAATTTTCACTAATATTCATTTGTAATATTTACAGGTGAGCGTTCCATTTTATTTAAATCTTTCTCAATATCTGTTGTTATGCAATATATAAATATTCTTAACAAAAGGTGTTCATTTAAAAAAAATTTAAACTTTGTCTTCTTTTCATTCATTTGTTTTGTGTACAGGTATAAGAACAAGGTGCATAATGCATCTATGTCAATCTTGGATGTTGGTTTACCAACAGGCTACATTTTTAACAAAAATGACCTGGACTCAGTAAGTTTTCCAACAAACAAAGAGAATAATATTTGATTTAATATTCATATATTTGTACTGATCAAGACTTGTTTTTGTTGTTTTTTTGTTCAACTGTGTGTATAGATTTCCAGTGGACATGGCCGCATCATTGACAAATATGAGACGAACACAGCTCTGTCAGAAAAAGGCTCCCTGATCATTTACCTGAGAACAGTAAGCATATATCAAGGATTCAAGATTCTTTATTGTCATTCTCATCACATGTAGTCCATGAGGTGGAACGAAATTATGTACACAGGGTCCCAGTTGCATCCAACATTAAAATGCAAAAGAAAAACAATGATAACATCTAAGATATGAACTAAGAAAAACATAAACTAAATATACACTAAGTACTAATAGCATAAAAAC